TCCGAATCGAACGCTGTGTGGCTAGGAAACCGTACCGAACCCGGGCCAATTGCTTGGAAGGCAATTATCCTACCGTTGGACCAAGAATGCTTGATATCACAACATGTTCATCTAATTAACTCACATGTTATTAACATAAATGATTGCAGAGGCTCATGCATTGTTTCAAGGAGATTGAACTTAACGGTCTGATTTAACGAAAGCAGGGAAATATCAAGACATCTAAAGCAATAATCACAGCCCGCCAAGGTGAAAATATAATGATAATTCACTGATCAAGAGTACAGATCTAAGTACATGCAGCCACGGGCTACAATAGCTAGTAAGGCAGTCGGGGATGCCTCAAAGAAGCTTCAAAAAAAGCTTCTCCGAAGTGTGTTGGGGTTATATTGGGGTTGTCTGTCCCGCGAATACCTTCAAAAAGCTATATTCTAGCCTAGAGGCAATCGTCGGTGATTGCCTGATGGGCATGGAATGTTTTGATGCAACACATGTTGAAAACTCGGCAGCTTGCCCCACGGAGGTCATAGCAATGCTTATCGCTCAGGTCAAATCTTCAGCGTACATCCGGTTGGGTACAACAGAAGCGGGTTGAAAATTCCGAAACATAACCTGACCCAGGGGACATCTTGCACTCTGCTCCACTACCAAAAGCGTAAACGGTGGTGGCCGCTTGAAATGCCATAACGAGGTAGACGGTGATAAGTTGCATTTCTGGTAAAAGCGTAGCAGCTGCGACAGGAAGGTGGTATTGAAATGTAAGTATATTGTATTCAGTAAACTCGAGCTGGTCGGAATTAAGATACGATGCGTTGAATTGAGTCGTGGCCCTAGTGTGTAGGAAAGACTAAGGTGGTACCGTCAGATGACGAGATCGGTGGTAATGTAGAGTTGTAAAATGGTTGTTTTCATGAAATAACTAAGCAGTGAGAAGATGTGATGCAACGATGATGGTCAAGAGAAGCAACTGCTTGTTCGTAAGAGTTGGCAGATCTGAGCACAGAATGCAATTATGAAAGGCGATGAATTGCTTGATTAATACACTTGACTAAACCTAGAAGCACCGAACAAACGTTGTTATTGCCGTTTAATAAGTAAGAAAAGTAATACGGGGCTGATCTGTGCCCATTAAAACAATCAGGAAACAAAACGCTCAGTGAACATGACAAGGCTCAGATAGTCTGTATATAGACCAGAAAGTCCTATGTATTCACAGAAAATACTCTAAAGCAACATAGGGAGCGCTCTGAACCGCGTATTGAGCTTGAATCTACTATTATTGGATAGACACAAAGTAGATTTCCTAAAACACTACACTCCATTGAGCACACTCTGCACACCGACAGTTCCCACATCGTCTCTCCTAGCAATGAAACCCTTCAATTCCTGCGCATCCTGTCCACCTGCAGCCCTCAAACGATCTCTGAGTGCCTCTGGCCCAATGATAAATAACGTGCTAACATCTGTCAAAACATCCATAGCACCAGGCTCCAGCTCATCGCCCGTCGGCCATGCTCGCACCAATTCAACATACTGGTTCATATCCTTCGATACGCTTAGACCGCCGACTTGTGAAATAGAGAACTTCAGCAGGTGTGCTAGGACGAGGGATCGGAGACCACGCGCTAGCTCGGCAAGAAAGAGCGAGAGGTTGCGGCCGGATAGGGCAGAGGTGGTTTGAGATGCGACACGTGTAAGGAACGCAGAAACTTCGCGGCAAGCTTGGGTTTCGCTTGTTACCATAAGGTCTTCTTCCTTTGGCCGAAAGTCTGTTTTCTTTTGTTGGGCAAGACATTTGCTAACCCAGTTCAGCGAGGCGGTTATTGTGAGATTAAGGATGTTAGAGAGCTTTGCCTCGAGCGTGGTCATTGTCAGATTAATAGACTTTTCAATTTCGCGACGGATGGTAAGGTTGGGGGTGCATAAAGGCAAGAGGATTGTAGTGGTTGTTTGTTGTAGGAGATGCAGCATTGTGGTAATGGTGTGCAGGGAGGAGAGGTGGGTGAGATCTGGTGGTGTCTTGGAGTTTTCCTGCGATGCGGCGTGATCTTGTGCACTGCTTTGACGTTAATTGACATGCTAAATCATAATAGAGACGATACTTACGCGTCAAGGGCCGTCTCCAGGTACATTTCGCCCATCTGCCGTAGGAGCAAGTTGAGCAGTATCTGCACGTCCTTTGGTGTCTCATTGCCAGGCGACAACTCCAGCCCACGTCCGACACCTTCTGCTAGCCACTTGAGCATTCGCTTGGCTACTGGTAATGACAGTCGGCCATCTTCGTCAGTGACCTCGATATCCTTCTTCTCTTGCTGGTCTTCTTTCAGCCCAGCGATACGAAGAAGAGTCGCTTTCTGACTAGCTGGTAGCTCAGTGCTTTCCAGACGCTCCATATACTTGTCACGAGCAGATGCGGCCAGCTCCTTGCCTCGTTGCGCGAGCGAACCAAAGTATGAGGTAGGCATCTTGCTTCGCCGAGAGTGGTAGATGGTAAACTTGAGAAGCAGTGAAGAGTACAGCTCCTCAAGGTTCTTCTTCTCTCGCTCGATGTACTTCTCGCCGATAAAGTATGAGGAGAATAATTCCTCCAGCTGTTGGTCAAGCGTAGCCGCAACCGCTGATGTAGCAGGCTCAGGGTGTTCTGTCAAACCGTGTGTCTTGAGGTCTTCCACGAGCTGGGTGATATAGCTTCTTGAAGCCTGCAGCGAACGCAGGAAAGCAAGCGACGAAAGATCTCCAGCTTTGTCTAGCACCATCTCGAGCCTGGACTGGATAGACTGCTGGAATATGCGTTCCAGAAACTTGATGAGGACTTCTTCGTAGTATGGAAACGCTCGCTTGATAATAGCGGATTCTTCCTGGACGACAATCTTGACTTCGTCGATCAAAGACTGAAGCGTCGGTTCCACGCCAGGCGGTTCGGCATCAGGATCTTGGAGGCGATCCCATGTCTCTAAATCTGTGCCAAGATCCTCACCGCTCAACTGCATACGGTCGATGAAGAACGAATGCTGGTTGACATAAGTCCCAATGACACTGGCACCGTCATTGAAGCCCTTGAGAGCAATGGCGCAGTCACGCATCCCAGGGTAGTTGGGACGTGCGTAGCATTCCTGGAACTTGCTGAGAAGGTCCTGCTCCAAGTTCTCGAGAAACTTCTCAATGACCTCCTTGGTGTTGTGTCTTGGCTGGTGTGTCGTCCTGCGCTTCATCCCGTTCGGTACATCGCCGTTGACTCGTTGGCTGCCATCTGGATCAAGGCGTGTGCTGATGCGCAGAAGCTGGCGCGCGATTTCAGCACATCGTACGATGTCACCGTTCTTCCGTTGGTCTTCAAGGATCATGAGTTCGCCTCTTTCGCTGACTTCTTGCCAGCACTCAATCAGGAACTTTGCATCGAGAGCCCTCTTCCGCTGACGGTCGAGCTCTTCAAGTCGCTCTCCTATGCGCATGGCAACGTTGCCGCCCGTATCTGATCCTCCATCGTCATATCCGTTCAGCGAGTTGTCCAGCCTCTGAAATCTATCCATGGCCTGTTCCAGCCGCCTCCCTAGGGACTCGACATTCTGGTTGTGTTGGAGTTCTGCCCGCCGGACGGCTCCAGAGAGGTCTGTCTCCTTCTCCTCAAGGTCCTCGGACAGACTGTTGAGGCTTCTCAGGGCATGTTCAAAGGTTCGGATAAGCGGCTTTGGGTCGAACGTCTGCTGCCCGCCAGCACCTCCAGATCGTCGCGTCGCAGGTACAGCGGCCTGGGAAAGGTCTTCGATAAAATCCTTGACTAGAAAGTCTTTGCTCTGCGTGAATTAGCACGGGAAAGACCAAAGAGCTGGGTAGCAGCTTACAGCGAACTTCTCTAGGGTGAACTGCGGTATGCGTATAGAGGTCCTCGAGGTCTGGTGCGTGAGTATAGAAGCGCTATCGGAGCTGACGCGTTGCATGATTGTGAGCAAGGCACAGGCCGGAGTTCAAGGGCTAGGTATCATTCAAGTGGTATAGAAAGCAGGTGTGTGTATCGTTGCTACCCAGCGAGCCAATGCCGCCTGAAATGGCTTGGGGCTGAGGTTGCTGGTACTGTCGCAAAGCATCAAGCTGCACAAGGCTGCTACCAGATCATGTCTTGGGATGGTGCATGCAATAATCGTGAGAAAGCATTCCCAGTCCAGGGTGTATGTGCACCTGGTCGTAGTAGGGACGAGTGAAGTCGCGACTGTGGCTTGTCGCACCCCACGCCTCGGTCCCTGGCGCAATGCAGAAGCGCCCGCCGAATCAAACCACGGGCAACCCCATGCGCTATGATGCCATTGCACCCTTCGACTGTTGTACACAGATGCCTAGATTAGAGCCGCGATTGCTGAACAGCCTCACATCACTTGCGAAAGCTTCCGCGTAATAGCGCCACTGCCCAGGGCGGAGCACGGCAACATGCGCGTATACGCCTTGGCTGACGCTCGGAAGAGATGGCGCCACACGTATGCACATGCACCAGCCTCACAAGGATATTTCATGTATCTTACATCTGCCCACCCCCCGACTATGGCCAGTTAACGCGAGCATTGACTCTTCTTTTCTATACTTATTGGTTTCTGTCCTGATTTCACGTGTGTAGCCATCGACAGTCCGGCTCGTCTTGTACCCCTTTGCTCAGCACGTCATCTGCAATGGCTGCTGTTACCGGTCTATCATCCAAACAGGAGTCGGCTTTCCGGCGCAAGGAGCTTTCTGCCCAGCAACGCGAGGAACTACTCAAACCTTTTCTTCCTACCGACATTTCGGATAGTGATACGCAAGTGCAAAAGAAGAAGGCCCTCCGTGAACGCCGTCAACGCGCATCCCAACAACATCACCGCAAACCCCTCGTCGGCCCGTTCAAAGCACTAGTCCACCTCACCGTCTACCATGTTGTCGCTCTGCTCTTCAGCATCTTCTTCCGCTTTCGACGTGCCTACCGGCTTGTACGGGGAAAAGTCATCTCGCTCCTGAAATATCATCATCGCACACCAGAGTTTATAGCACACGACGTAAAGGACTTGGAGAAGCTACCAAAGCATCTGAGTGTGATTGTAGAATACCAAGAGGACGACGGAAGCCAGGGAAACGCCGGTCTGGAAGGCCTCGTGAACGATGTTTGCGAGATAGCGGCTTGGGCAGCAAGTGCTGGAATTCCGTTTCTCAGCATCTACGAGCGAACCGGTAAGCTAGCAAAATCTACAAATACGTGTAAAGAGGCTGTTCAAGTGCTAACCGCGAAACAGGCGTCCTCAAGAACTACCTGCCCCAAACCCATGCCAGTATTTGGAGTACGCTTGAAGCCTACTTTGGCCCACAACGCAAACCCACCCTCTCCCTCCGCGCACCGCATCTGAGCTCTTACTCACCACCGGACACGCCCCCTCAGTCGGCTGAGCCAAATGACCCAAGCCTCAAGGAAGAACGCCAGCATCTCACTGTACTCCTCTTGTCGGAACACGACGGCCGAGATACCATTGTCGATTTGACTCGCACCCTGGCCGAGATGGCACAAAAGGGTGACGTGCGACAAGAGCAGATTAACATGGATTTGATCGATGCACAGCTGAACGATCACGTCTCCAGCGAGCCCGACCTGCTGATCCTGTTCAGTCCAACGGTTCAATTGAAGGGCTACCCACCGTGGCAACTGAGGTTGACCGAGATTTTGTAAGTTAATTCGCTTGTCGCTTTTGCGAGACTCAGCACTAACAATTGCCCCCAGTCACTTGCCAGACAACAAGGGCGTCAACTATCAAGTCTTCCTACGAGCCCTGTACAATTTCGCTAAGGTCGAGATGCGCCTAGGAAGGTAGCGAGTGGATATGGTTTTCGAGTCCCTTTGTGTATAATAGAATACCCAATTTGATTATTTCCGCACTTGATCATGTCATTTGCCATCTTGCACTCAAAAATAGACTACAAATGTCAAAAGCATCACCCACAATTCATGTCACACATCTTGTACAAAAGAACATATGTGGAGGTATCTCGAATCTGATGGATGGTAATCTACACCATATCCTCATGCTCGCCGTCGTCTTTTTGTGTACGTCATAGCCATCGAGAGTAAATGCACCTAACACCTGTATTCGTTGTAGGTCGTCAAGTACATTGTCCGCCCCACTAAAGAACCCATGCAACCATAACCCAGTCGTTTACTTGAGAGGAATGAAACGGGAAGAGTGAGTGGCACCAATACCGGGCCTTCCGTGCTTGACTGGCCTGTATGAAATGGAGAACTCTGCAAGGTAGTGGCCGACCATCTCGGGCTTGATTTCGACCTGGTTGAACTCCTTTCCGGAGTAGACACCGATGACGCTGCCAATCATCTCGGGGACAACGATCATGTCACGGAGGTGGGTCTTGACGAGGTCGGGCTTCTCGTTGGGGCGGGCCTCCTCTGCGCCATGTTAGCCATCTTCTCCTGCCCATCAAGCCAACTGTGCTCCTTACGCTTGGACTTCCTGAGCTTCTTGATGAGACCCATGGGCTTGCGCTTGAGACCGCGGTTGAACCTGCGGCGGGCGCGGGCGTGGACGAGGTCACGGAGCTCCTCAGAGCCGAGGTCGAGGAGCCTGCATGGCAATCAGAATACCGCTATCATTTATGTCGATCCCCAGCGTAGGGGAATATCGAGGGAATCGGAAACGTACTGGTCAAGGTCGACACCGCGGTAAGAGAACTTGCGGAACGCCCTCTTGGCCTTGAGGGCTGTTCATCTCGTTAGCCATGCTCTGCCATCAATATGCCCACCTGTCGCTGCTGATGCGATGGAGAAACTTGGGAATGGGACAGGAATGCGTACCAGCTGCGGCCTCGGGATCGTAGTCAGCGTCAGCCATGTTTGCGGTTGTCGAAGTAGCTGATGGGGGGAACTTCGTTAGGTCGTGGGTTGTCGGTCGTTCAATTATCGATGGGCAAAGGGAATTTCGAGGTGTTGCCTGCCTCGCTTAAGCGAGCCGTTAGCGTGCCACTACGTCCATGCGCAGCTGGACCGACACCAACATCACTACGTTCACACTTGCAACGAATAGTAAACCCTGACCGACTTGTCGCGTAATTTTGCGAGGCAGTATTGTGTGCTGGTTAAGCAAACAGGACCTTGCTCCCCAAAAAGTAGGTTACAACCAGCGCTGGAGCTTTTCATTGAAGACGAAACTTGAACTGTTCAAAACTGACTGCCCGAGATCACTACAGCAGTCAAGTCATTGTCTTCATGCACCGTGGTGCTCATATGCTAATCTATTTGTAGATTTAAACACTCGACTAGTAACCATCTACACCTTCTGCTCTCGCCCCTAACAAGTATACATCAGCGTAAGGTACAGACACATAGTCACATTGAGGAAAGTCACAACATCGATGTAATTGAGGGTGCATGGCTTCATTGTGGGTATCTCAGCAGGCAGCTATGAAAACATTGCCGCACAATCTTTCTCCATATCCCATCCATCGCGCGCTCGACACGCCCCAAATGCTCAGACTCGTTGCGCATGATTCTCGTGATTTTTGAGAAATTGGCCACATCATACATCGTAAACAGAGATGGATTGGCGACACGCTTAGTCGAAGAGACCGAAACCCATGTCCTCGTCGGACTCCTCCTTCTCCTCCTCCTTAGCGGCGGGAGCCTCCTCGGCGGCAGCGGCACCGCCAGCGGCAGCACCACCAGCGGCGGCAGCAGCGCCACCACCGGAGCCACCAGATGGAACGGAAGCGAGCTTCTCGGATCCAGAAGCGATGAGCTCGTTGATGTCCTTGCCCTCAAGCTCGGAGATCAGCTTGTTGAGGCGCTCGTCATCAGCCTCGATACCGACGGCGCTGAGGACGGACTAAATTTCATTAGAATTCCGATTGGAAAAACTCCTTCATAAACCATCATACCTTGACATCTTCGGCGGAAGGCGAGGTGTTACCACCAAGGCCGAGGAGGAGGTATGCAGCGAGGTGCTTCATTGTGATGGTAAATTGGTGGTTTCGGTGGAAAGGAACAGGAGTTCAATCGATTTAACCTGCGTCTGTCAGTATTGTGTCGCTGGGCGCAAACAACAGTAAGTACGCACCGCTTGTGGCCGGAGACTGAATCTACAAGTTCTCGCTGTGGTTGTCGAAAAGAAAAAGTTCCTGGTCCTAGAATATTGACTCAAGGTGGGATCTCGCTACCCAAGCCATTCCGCAGTCGGACTAGCGCGAGATGACCGTATCATCACGTGAAGGCTGACTAGGCGCAAAGCCAAGGTATAAAACAGGCCCGTCTGCGCCGTCGCTGTCCGCTCATTCTCTGGCCGTCCATTCTAATCCACCGGTCCCGTGCGCCTCGCTTTCTCTCTGCGCGCGCGACCACCCTCCGCCGACTATCAATACCGGCGATTTTTACCAGGAAAGCATGTACAACTTGCCCTCCAATCGAATCGACGAGCGGTAACACCGAGTCAAACGCTTATCAGTTGCCTACCATGAGCGTGAGCTGCAGAAGACTGCCCGCGACATCTCCCCTGTGCTGACCGTGTCTTCTAGTCACTCAAAGACATCATGTCGATAATCGACCCGAGCGCAAGGCCCGCAGCAACAGCATCAAAGCAAGGTCCGCTTGGCAGTGCCCCTAAACCAGCGCCGCGACCGGTTGGAGGGGCGAACGGCGCATCTCAAGCACCGCAGTTGAAGCGAAAGGCATCAGGTCCTGTTGAGAATGGACAGACAAAGGTGCAGAGAAAAGAGGCGGTTGGCGGAATAGCACAGGCAAATGGCGCGGTTCGTGCCACGTCGTCACCTGCCACGTCAAGACCTTCTTCGTCTACGCCTACCACCTCCGTCCCTTACCGCGGAACTGCTGCGCCCTCGTCTTCGAAAACAACAAACCCGCCTGTCCGAAAGCCTCTCCAGTCATCAAACACACCTGCTGCTACAACCAAGGCCCCGGCGCCTGCTTCCAAGCCTGCCCCGGCAGCCACCGGCCCCGCCCCCGCCTCGAATGCCGCACCCAAGAAAGGATATCTGGCCATGCTCCAGAAGGCCAAAGAGAAGGATGCCAGCAAACCTGTCACACCACCGATCAAACATGAGCCTACGAAAATCTTGACGCGCAAGGAGCGGCTGGCGCTCAAGGCAGAAGCGGGAGTAAAAGGCAAGAAGCCTGTCGCTGGACTCCCATCGAAGCCTGCGGATCCCAAGGCGGATCCCTCCAAAGAGAAGAAGAAGGTCGAAGTAGGTTATCAAGGCACTGCACGGCCGGCTCGGAAGCCTGTTGAAGTTGGCTACAAAGGCACTGCTCGTCCCTCCAGTGCACCGGTAACGTCGAGCCGCAACGGCACGCCAGCTGCAAAACCAAAACCCAACCCAACCAAGGGCCGCTATGACGGATATGCAGACTGGGATGACCTTGACGACATGGAAGACGATGAAGAAGAGGACTATGACTCTGACGGCTCTTCGGCCATGGAGGGAGGCATATGGGATGTCGAAGAGGAAGAACAGTTGGCACTCAAGGCTGCCAAGAAGGAGGATGCTGAAGCTTTGGCAGAAGAGAATAGGCTCAAGAAGGAGAAAGAGGAGCGAAAGAAGAGGCTGGCAGCAATGGCAGCCAAAGCAAAAAGAAAATATTAAGGATCCTCGGCGTTACGGTTCACGATTCCACGGCATGGGGGCGTTTTACCTGCATTGTTGCGATTGCATAGCCATGGAGCGGATCTCTTTTACCATGGCGCATTCACGATTGTTACATACCCCGAACAACGATCCTGTCTTCATAGTACGTGGCTCAGATGAAGAGACTACACATAGTTTATATTTGCAAGCGATAACAGTTGGTAATACTACCTGCAGTTTCGGTTCGATATCACATGTCATCTGCAAGTGCTCTTAGTTCTGATTAATGGTCTTCAAATAGCGAATTCTCCTTGGTTTGCAGCTCCCACGTTACGACGCATCAAGGTCAACGGGTTCAAACACTTCCGTGGTCAACCAAATCCATGCGATTGTCCTTGGAAGCAAAATTCTTGTGCCAACGCATGCACAAACGGCGCTTATTCACAATTGACCACAGGGTAGTATCAAACAACGCATCATGGATTCTTGTCAAACACCCGGATTCATACTTCTAGTCTGTTTAAAGCTTCCAGCATCCGGAACACTAAGCTATTTTTTTGCCGTAGCCGAAGAATGGCAACACTCTGTCAGCGACTAGCGCATCCGTTCCGGCGCCCTGTCCACTATTACACGATTGCAGAGCCGTCTCTTACACCTGAACAGCTTCAGAGGCAAAGGGAGAAGGAGAAGCAAAGAATACTGGACAGGATTGAAAATGATCTGGACGATGGGCGGGTCAGGCCAAGAGGTAGCAATTCTTCAGACAGCCTTCCCGTGATCATCGATAGAGGCCCGTATAGGGGGTGTTTATATCCAAAAGATCAGCTTTATTTTAACAGTGTCATGCTAGCGGCGGATTCAGAACCGAGATATGCTGGCCCACCTGGTAGAGAGCTGAGGCAAGAGACTCATAGGACCCCAACTCAGCGTCCAAATGGCAGCAATGATAAGGGCCCCTCCGCACAACCCGTGCCTAGCGAATGGATGGCTGCTTTGAGGAATGCAAGAGACCTAAAAGAATGGGAGGGAAGAAACAGCATCAACCTCATACCAGCCCGTGTTAAGCCCTCAAGTAACACGCAACCGCCCCCGAGATCGCTATCGCCGCCTCGAGGACCGATCACACCCGGCACACAGGAGTGGGACAGGTTCATGGACTTCCCATTGGATAATCCCTACCACATATATCATAACGATGACCGTAAGCAGTCTGATGAGGATCTTGCCGCTTCGAATCCCCCGATCTTGTCAAGACCAACAGCTGTGACCGAACCACAGGCCCCTTTGCGATCCCATAACATTCATGCTCGTTCTGAAGCTCAATTGGGATGCCATGTACCGCCAATCCCGACAAGTATCCCAATAAAACCACTTGAAATCTCATCGATCCAAGCTAGACCGACGCAATCACTGACATGGAAATCAGCATTGAAGAGTATCCTGTTCCACGAGGAAGTCGACCCTGCGATGAGAGCTTCGGTTATGGAAAGGGCACAGTGTAGCTCTACCATTGGAGCACCAGAACACCAGGTGATGCCTCTTTTTGCTCCTGCAGACGTCGGCCTGGTGCCAAATTTCAGCTACCCGATCGCTGCAAGTGCATTTTACGACCGCATTGATGCCGCACAGACACCTCGGGCACGCTCACCTCAGGAGAAAGAGCAGCGATACGAAGAGCTGTTACCAAATGGTGTTCTCCCTGAGCACCGTAGTCATGCAAGCTCAAATGAGACACTCTATCGTGACCCATCGCTTTTGAACTGGCCCCTGCGAGGAGGGCAGTGCAGAGGACATGTCGCATTGACGAATGGTGTCCCGCCAGGGTACTACCCATCGTCAAGCTCTAGTAGCTCCAGCGATACTCCCCCCAACCCTCACCCGCGCTCTCCGTTTCCTCCCAATCTAGTACCAGAACAGATATCTGCGTTACTTCGTTCCCTTCTCACATCGCCAGAACTCACGCTGCACCATCAGATAGTCCATCAGACAACGCCCGTAAGTACCTCATCTCAATCTAGACTCGAGACACACGCACGTCTTATCAAGAAGCTCACTGCCGCAGTCTATGGGCTCCAGGTCTGCATCGCTGGACTAGAGGATAATCTCGTCCCGCAACTCAGCACATACCTCGAGCATAAAGACCGCGAGATCGATGATCTGGATGTCGAGATATCGCGGCTCGGAAATGAAATCACTGAGCTGAGGCGAACCGTGGATTTCGGTACCAGGGTTCTGAGTCAATGCCGAAGTCGCGAATGGGAGATCTGGCACACATTATTTGATATTCAGCGAAAGCGCGAAGAAAGGTGTAATTCTCTCTCACATGTCTTCTCCAGACCAAGATCGGGTACGGTGCCGCATGCTGAGGCAGCTAACCTCAGCGCGCCGCCATCCAGTGCAGCTCAGGCTGTGTCTTCCGGAAGGGCAGCCAGGGGTGTTCTCAAGAAAAAGGAACTCGATGCTCTTCTACTCATGGCAAAGCAGAATATCGAAATAATTGACGAGGGCATGAAAGAAATGGCGGGGACGGTGCAAGCGTATCTGACGAGGAACGGGGATGCTGAAAAAAAGGAGGAGGAGCAGGAAGGGTAAATGAGAGAGTGTGCGAAGGATCTTCGATGGGTTGGTGGAATGAAGATTACCAGATAATTTTGCTTCATAGTATGAAGGAAGATTGAGATGCTGGACTGCCCGGAAATACATAATTGCGCTCTACGATATTCACAAGTAGATGAGGCTTGAGTTGATACACATGAACGTGACAAGGAAGACGACATTGGAATAATATCGACTGTACTGTGTGCAAAATATGTGATTAATTGGCTGTCACACAAGTTAATTGCGAAATTTGCTAGATACATACATGGTTGTCAAATGCTAATGCCATCTGACTTGCCGCGCCTCTGATCTCAGTTGCTTGGCCCATCCTCATATCCCTCACCCTTCTCTATGCTAGGAACAATGTCTTCACTTCCTGGAATACTATTTTCCTGCAACGCGTGGCCTGTGCTACGTCCGGCTCACCACTAATGGGGCCTAGTAATTTCTGAAAACGGCTTTACTTCTCTCTTACATATATATGGAGTAGAACACCCTAAACGTCCCCGTGTCTGGGCCAATTTCATGCGATCTTTTGCAGGCATTGAGTGTTTTGGCGAGCTTTTCTTATATTCTGCGACGCGTCTCTTGCTCCTCATCATTGATGGACTGGCATATCGCTTGAGCTTCTGCCCTTGGGTCTGGGTGCTTTGCCTTCGCTGAAGCAGCACGTTGTTTTTTCTTCTCAATGAACGCCTCTATCTTAGGGTACTCCAGGTCCAGGTTTTCCTGGTACGGCGTATGTTGTTCGCGGAGTTCCCTGAAAGTATGCCATAGACGTTGCACTTCCAAGTGCGGTGTTGTGCGAAACTCAACACTAAATGTGTTCTCTCCGGGAGGGTAAACCCCAAAACCAGTGTCTGAGCGGTACCACGCTGCGAGGAGAACAGTCAAGAGTGCTTTTCCTACATATGCCCCTTCGTCCTCTACACAATAACAAAGGACAAACGAGCGAAAGCCCCATATCTCATTGCCGTCGCCCAGCACAGCTTCACATGTCGCTAGGAAGAGGCTCATGAACCAACTCGAACCAGGATTGTGGGTCCTTTCAAGCTGGGCTTTGCTTTTTTGAGAGTTCATGGCAAACCCAACATACGACAGTGGAACAGCCAGCGGTGTATCGCCAACAAGTGGCGGAAGAGGCTCCAGCCATTCCTGGCATGCGTTGCAAAAGACCAACACCTGACGGGTACGGTTGCTCGCGTCTTCATCTGCAAACTTTCTGTTGAGGAATTTTCTGCATCCTTCTTTCGCATGCCTGATTTTGCTCTCTGTATGAGCATACTGTTCCTCGACGGCAAAGACGAGATCGATTTCTCTATCTGTGAGATGCTCCTTTGCATACAGCGACTGCCAATGCAGGACTTGTTTCAGCTCGTTGAGAGTGAGCGATCTACCTGTTCTGGTATCGCAGAACGCTCGCATGTATATATATGGAACCTGCGCGGAATAATTTCCCATCCAGGCACTGTTTGGGTGAAACAGCTGCTGGATCTTGTTGTTGCCGGCTAGTGAAGCATGTGCGACATTTCCGCAAATAATTTCTTGGACCAACTCAGCTGGCATGTTGCACAGAAGGCTGAAGGCTTTCATTCGAGATTCTTGCTCAGTCATGCGATTGGTGATGGGCCTGTGTAAATCCACAACTTTGTGCTAAGTGATTGCGGCAAGAACAGCTAAACTGTCTTCACAATGTCTTTGCATTTCCAAACTAACGTCTGGAGCAGCTCCTGCTGAAAGGTTGTATGGCGCTTGTCCCCCAACAGGTTGAAGGCTAGGTTGCGAGCGAGCACTTGATGCGAAAGCTTCAGTTTGCGACGAAGCGTCTCTCATGGCTTTTGGTACCGCGACTACAGGAGCTTTACCAGCTTTAGTCCTCTTAATATCCTCAGCCGACGGCGTAGGCTCGGCATATAAATCACTGGCGGGAAATCTTTGGAAACGAGCATCTGGGTCTTGTCCGTTTTCTGAGCGAATCTGTTCATTTGTGCCCTCAGGAGCGGAGTGGGTGACCTGTAAGTCTCCATGCATCTGCTCACGGGAAGTTTCAAGCATTGCTGCCGACTCATCCAGTCGCGGAGACAAAAGCATTTGCATGCTGTGTTCCATATCTGATTGGGCATTCTGTGACTCTGATTCCCCCAGTGCTGGGAAGAAAGACGTGACAGTAGTAGGCCTTGGGTTTCGGGCAGACTGCGATGAGACAAATATGAGTGAATTTAAACAACAATAGAGGTAAAGCAATGGAAATGCAAACAAATAGTACGGATGTGATGATGAAATGAACGCAGGGGCAACCCAATATAAGCTACAGCAGCTGGGGATAACAATGGACTTTTACTCACCTCGATGAAGCTGATGCAAGGCCCTGAAATTTTGTTCGCGGTTTTTTTTAAACTCTCCACTTTCCATTGCGGAAGCAGACCACTGTTGTCGAACGGTGTTTGTCCCGGTTGATGCTCGACGCTCATGACCGAGTTTTCATTGTTGACGATGAAGTTGGCGATGCCACCTCCCTTCTTGGTTTCTGGCTTTGGCTTCGACGGAGCAGGCTGTGTCGGAGCAGACATGTTCGTCTGCTCAGTGTGCATTCTGGGATCCTTTGTCAGTGATGCAACCGCATGACATCTTCTAGTCACTTGCAACGATGATTTTTCTGGCGACGTTGTCGGCGGTCTCTTGGGTGCCATGGTTGGGAGCTTCCGTGTGGTGGGAGACTGGTGTTGACAGGGGCCAATACAGAAGCAAACAGCAGTCGCCTGCTCACGTATAGGCTAACCTATTTAGTGCGGTTGGAGGATGAAGTGAAAGTGAACGATTACATTTTGATAGGTAGCTCACAACCCATCCTCACGTATTTACATCACCCACATCCTCTGCCTCTTTCAAGTATCAGCGATATCTAGCAGAAGTAGACATGGCCATCTAAGATCCCTTTATTCATTTCACTACATGAATCACCCTAACACTGCGTCCGTTGATGTAAATTAGCTGAATTTCAATCTAAGCTGCTTGGTGGTGAGTTGATACATGTAATATACTTGTAACTTGAAGAAATTAGAGTATATAGCACTACATATGAACCACTCCGATCGTTACTCGCCAGGCCATGGTGGGATCTGAGCAGTACGGCTCCAGTCAAGGGCTGTGGCAGTAGTATAATCCGCCTGGTTGCTGTCCATGGATCAGCCTGTACCTTGAGAGCTTCGGGTGTCACGCATTCTCTTCTTGAGGTTGTTTTCCCTGCGACTGTTGCGCTTGTTGAGAGCCAATTTCTGGAGTGAGACATGCATCGAGAACTTTTGAAACTCTGTTCGTTGTGGTACCTATAGTCATGTCAGTAGAGTGATGAATAACACGGTGATGGTGCGAAGATGGCAACGGGTCGGTGAGCCAGCAGTACGTGGTAAACATACCAATTTCAAGTTTCAGTGGCATATCACTTCTCTTCGAGGCCCTCAGTCGCGTCCCTCTTGGATTACTTGCTCTTGCTCTTCTCACTGGTTATCCTGGCTCCGGATAGATCAGTGGTTTGCCTCATTGTACTCTAGCTACCTGGCGATCCTCTCTTCAGCAAGCTCGCAGCTGCTTAGACAGCGAAAAGAGATGCAACAGCCGTTCCGGACCACACTTTTACAACTACTGAAAACCTGAACGTGTTGTTGAAAGGTGTAGATGTCCGCCTTGCATTTGTTAGTGCATCACTCAAAAACAAGATTGACCGACGAGACGCAACCCATTTTGTTACCATCACGAGCAAGGATATTCATTGTCTAAGTTTGAAACTTGAACGAGATTGCATTCTGCTATGCGGGCAACATTTAGTTATTAAAGCTGCAACATCATCCCAATTGACTTATGAATATTTCTCCAGTCTTCGACATCGGATCAACGTTATTGTCTTGCTATATGCTAAGAAGTTTTCAAGTATCAGAGCAAATAGAAAGAGTGAGATTGGTGAGCAGGCATATCATTCCACTTTCGCTATCAGTCACAAAGCAATGCCATATTTACCAAATCTATCTTTATCTAATGACTAGCAAGTATTCCGCATTGCTACGTCCAGTACTAAGCCGGCACCGCACTAGATATCCTACCGAGCGGATGAGCGTGACTATCCCGCTGATACTCAAGCACCTTATCAGATTAGCAGACGCATACACCCCACACCCGGAGGTATGGTAAGGGTTAGTGTCGCACAGACCAAGGGTCCGAGTACGCCCATATCGGACCTCACCTCTACTAGACATTCGCCTATCTACCAGTCGGAACAAAAATTCATGGAGCATATTCATTTTAAACTGCATGAGATAAGCGGCTATTATGTGTCTTGTTATTCGAACTGGGATTCGGGTCTATGCCCTGTCAAATATCAGTGTCAGTATGTGAAGAAGGTTTATAGTGGTGATGCCGATATTAGATGATACTTCTGCGACGAATACGACTGATTTATTGTTTACTTAGAGTGATTATCTTGATGGAACAGTATCTTCCAGTTTGTAACAATGCATATTCTTCATCGTAATCTCTCTTTTCCGATTGTACAAAAATAACGCAAAGGTTCTAGCGTACGATATCTAAACCACCTCCAATGCCTTCTCATTCCCCAAAATCTCGAGTCATTTTTCGTGAGTCCTAACTAGTAATCGTTTTAATTTTTCTAATTCTGTTAACTAGATAAAAGCCTTGGTTGACTTAAGAATCAGATAGAACAGTGACATTATAACCAGACTTTCTCAACACATCGTTCGAATCTTCTTGATGGAAGCATTGAGGGAGGTACTTTGGGACGATAAACAAAGGTACAGCCACGTCTAGCGTCTTTATCTCCGTTTTCTATACAGGCTCCATCGACGTAGATAAGAAACTCGGATCGGTCAGACTAATGAGTGAAGCGTGGAGCTTGAATCGAGGCGCTTGGCAAACCAGGTACAAAGAGATCTTCTGGGGTATCGTTTGCATTTGGAGGAACAAATCATATTAAATTTGACGCCGGATCAAGAGACGAAAAAATGATTTGGTCGTCTAGGCCACCATGAATAAAGTCAACACCCTCCGGGAATGCACTGCCAAGAACGACACAGACGTCACGCTTAAGAGCGTACAAGATTTGAGGAAAGAAATCAAGAATTGTTGCGTTTACGGTCAATGCTATCTGAAGTAGATACCTCCTCACTAACCCGCATAGCCACGTGATACTATAATCGCTCAATTACTTAGTGACAAAGTTGTCACGATACCCTGAACGGAAGGCCTAAGAAGGCCAAACCTCGGGTTAATGAAGCCACAATTACGTTAGAGTGTATAGTCCCCTCTCAACCTTAAGTAACGCGACACCGCGGTATACAATACCGAATTATAGTATGAAGTGCACAGCACTAAACTGACAGCTCAGGCGTATTTACACATGGTCATCTCTAATAAGGTTCATTTCTCTCCCCTCTTAATCACCGTGAGGCATAGAACCGTCAAAGCGTTTACTATTGGCTCTATATTCTTTCTATCTTCTTGGCTAGCTTGTTTTGGAGTATCATCTCCGGCTCTAACGTTGCCTAGAGCTTGCCTAACGCAACTCGGCAGACATTATCGCTACGATCTTTTGCGTAGCTGTTGATACCCGAATCTAGAACCAACACTATTTCTAGTGGATACTTCCACAAGTATCGTCCCTTTATTGATTCACGTTTGCTTTAATGCTGAGAAATTTGACCCTGTATTCCATCAGGACACAAAACCTTCGCCTGAAAAAGAGGAGCGGATGAAGAAGCTAAGTGATAAATGTGCGATACATACGGATTTTTTTATCCAACTGCGTTGTACCAACTTCACAATCATATTCCTCCATTCCACGATAAGATGCCAAGGAAACTCAGTAACCCGTGACATCTTTCCATCGACCTACTAGAAAGACTATCTAAACTAGCGTTATCTCGCTTTCTCCAGGATACTGCAAGTCCCCGTAGCGTACGCTAAGATAGTACCTCTCGGCATCAAGCAGACAACTCACAGCCCGCCCTTCCTTGTGATAAGCATAATTCCCTCAAAGATATCCGCCGACTCCACCTGCCATGTTCCTACAACATCCAAGATAAGAAAACACAAAAAAAGAAACGGGGGAGGGGCATCAAAAAAGGTCACACGTCATACCACAAGGCCTTACACCCAGAGTACCCCTCTATCCCCAACCCACAAAAACAGCCAAACTAACCAACCGGCCCTACTCACATACCCAATCCCAGAGCAATCCCCAACCCTTACCCCATTCACCGCCCCACCTCCATCCAAAACCCACATACACCCTTCTAGCCTACACACACCTCAACCCAGCGCCAAGCCCCCCATCCCATCCCCACCCTCCCTATCTCCCTCAGCAGGACCCCTCATCCCAAATCCCACCAGATAACCCAAAACCACCCATGCATCCTCCATCCCCTCTCTTTCAGCCTCATCGCCCATTCCCCCCTACCATCCTCCTCTACCTCTCCCTCGTGCCCCCAAGACCATACACACCCAACCAACTCCCCTCGTATCTCGATCCAAGACGTCACAACCCACCCACCCCCGCCCTACGCCACTAAAAAAGGCGGCCCACGCTAGCTAATGCGGGGATCACCTAACCCGTGCGCAGCCCAAAATGTCCTCTAACACACGCCATACCAGACAAGCTAGAGTTACACACATACACACGCACCTAAGGCCTTTCCCGTCCCTTCTGTTTTTTTAGGGCGCCGAAGAGACTAAACCTAGACGAGATAGTGTAGGCGCCTGACGGGAGAGTGAGGCATTTAATATGGGCCGCGGTAATGTTGGGATCGCAATGTGGGTACTGGTATACGTACGTTGGTTGGGAACAAGGGTACATTGCTGGAGGGGGTGGGAAAGATGGTTGGGCGAGGTAGGATTGGAAGAAGGGAAAGTAGGGCGAAATGGGGACTAGCACGGTGAAACGAAACGCTGGGGCAGCTGGGAAATATGATGGAGAAGGGGAGGGACTGGTGATTCAGAAAGCAAGCAGTACGTTGATTTTTCACAAGGAAAGCCAGATTGCGGTGATGGTGAATAAGTGAATTAATTCATTAAAACTTCATAACTCGTGATATTGGAGGTATATATGTAGATAAAACGAAAAAACAACAACGATGCAACTGTATGTTGCCCATTTGCCCTATAAGACATGGTATGTGTTTTTATAAGCTTTCGTGTGAAATGATCAAAAGACACCTGTCTTTTCTCAATTCATATCTGCATCTCTGCAGACTCGAATGCTTTAAACGACAGTCTTCTCGGGGTACTCAGCGTGAGTAGCGCTCCTCTTACGGGAAGCATCAGCCTCGATGTCAGTAAGGCTGGTGCGGCGGTTGTCGGCCTGCATGTCCTGAACGTCCTGGAAGGAGACGGTAGGGACAAAGCCAGGGGACTTCCAGGCCTTGGAGCACTTGCCGTAGAGCTCGTCGACCTGCTCGAGGGAGAGACCCTTGGTCTCGTAGATCATGCCCCAGACGAAGAAGATGCAGATGAAGCAGCATCCGCCCCAGACGAAGAAGACCTTGGCGCCCAGGTTGGCGTTACCGGGGCCGTCATTGACCATGTAAGGGGTGGCGTATCCAATGGCGAAGTTGAGGAGCCAGTTGCTGGCAGTGGTCATGGAGAGAGACTTGGCACGGACCTTGAGAGGGAAGATCTCACCGGTAACGACCCAGGCGACTGGGCCCCAGGAGCAGGCAAAGAAGAAGATGTAGATGCAGACGAATGCGATCAAAGCCTTCTGGGCAGCCATGTTCTCAACACCAGCGACAGTACCGGTAATAGCGACGATGAACTGGCAGACAGCCATACCGATGGCACCGAAGAGGAGGAGGTTGCGGCGACCCCACTTCTCGACAAGGTAGAGACCGGGAAAGGTGGAGCCGACGTTGACGCAAGAAGTAATCATAGTGACAACAAAGGGGTTCTTGATACCAGAGTTCTGGAAGAAGGAAGTACCATAGTAGAAGATGAAGTTGACACCAGTGAGTTGCTGAAGAGACTGGAGTGCGCAACCAGTCGCAAGACGCTTTCCAAGGTTACCACGGAAGCAGTCGGCGTAAGTGGCCTTGCCAAGAGACAGCTCGTACTCGTGGTTGGCAGTGATCTCAGCCAACTCCTCAACAAGGGCAGGGTCGTCAACATTAAGACGGCGAAGGGTAGAAAGAGACTTGGCGGCCTTTTCTGGGTGGCCCTTCTTGATGAACCAACGAGGAGTCTCGGGAAGCCAGATGCAACCAGTGAAGAGGACAATGGCCCATGCGAACTGGACAGCAATAGGAATGCGGTAAGAACCAGTGTCTTGTCTGTCCTTGGTAGCGTTGTCGACGATGGCAGCAAGCAAAAGACCAATGGTAATGGCAAGCTGGTAGCAACCAACAATAGCACCACGAATCCACTTGGGGGCAGTCTCGGATTGGTAGAGAGGAATGGTGGCAGAGATCATACCGACTCCGTAACCAGCGAAGAAACGACCAGCAACAAACAGGGGGATATCAGTAGCAATGGTCTGGAGGATAACACCGAGACAGAAGACAATGTTGCTGGCAACGAGGCCAAGGCGGCGACCGAGGAAATCGGCAGTAGGGGCGGCAGTCAGGGCACCGAAGAAGGTACCGGCGGAGAGGATGGAGACAATGAGCGAGGTCTGATTGGCGGTGACATCGGGAAGGTTGTCCTTGGGGTTGACGTATCCAGTGCTGAACACCTCACGCCAGTGCTTCATTCCCAGGATACCACCAATGGTACCAGTATCATATCTGTAGCTTTGTCAGTGATTGATCTTGATGGATAGAAAAGTTGGAGAGTCTGCATACCCGAAGAGGATACCACCAAAAGCGACAAACAAGCCAACAATGACGGCGGGCGCAGTGGACCCAGCCACGCCCTCGGGTTTCTTCAAAGTCAGACCCATGACTGGAGGTTGATTGTGAGAAAGGGCAGAGTGGTGTTGAGAAAAGACTCGAGCCCAGAGTAAAAGGTGTGTACTCGGATGAAAGGATCTTTGCTTGGGGGGCGGATCAACCCAACTTAAGTACAGATGGAGGAACTCATTCCCATGGGCATGGGATCTCCATGGGCAGCTATCCAGTCCCGGAGACTAGAAGCATGGGGACAATGCGCTAGACGTTTGAGGGGCTAGCGTGCTATTGGGAATAGGTCCGATGAAGCTGGGGACTGCTAGCGTATTGCTTAGTATGTGAGCTAGACCAGACCAGATGAATCCCGCTCGTACGTTGCGGGCCTGCGATTGAGGTCGCCTCTGCATGGTGGAGGAACTAGAAATGCCTCGGCGTGGCAGTAGAAAAGTCGAGGTCCTGCTAGGCGTATCTATGTTTAGCGGTCTCCACGCTGGCGAGTTTGCTGGGACACGATAGTATGCGCGGTGTAGCCCGAGCATCACGGTACGAGAGGCGTACAGACAGACGTAACGTGACAGACGCGGGCTGGCTGTTGAAGCGGGCAATGTCAGTGGCATGGCAGTTGGGTGTTAAGCGAAAAGGTGGCGCCGATGGCGGAAATGGTAGTAGGGCACCACAGCAGTAGCGCAAAACCTTAGGTAGATGTGTATGATCCGACAGGTTGTGCGCGTAGATGGCCTTAGCCGTTGACCTCATCCACACGCAGGCATGCATACAAGCAAGCAGCGACGCGTACGTTTCTGTTTGATCAATGGTGTTGGTGTTGGTAGCGAAGGAGGTGCCACAAGCAGTCATGATGTGCATTACTCGCCAATCACGGGCAAGTGTGTCATGGAACTATACAAGTAGGGATAATAATCGCCCAATTCCTGGCCCGTCTAGGCAGTGTTGCCGTAGAATGGCTGGCGCGTCGGCGTCGGGGTCAAGATGCATGCATGCATGGAACCTTGTGGCAAGAGTCTTCTGGAATACGACTGGGTTTGGTAACTGGTATCGAGGGGAGCGCAGTTACCAGCTGGGAGTCTGTGGCATGACGAAGCGGATGCTCCAAGGGGGCGGGGAGAGAGGGCGTGACAATTTTTTTTTGCTTCTGGCCATCCCAAGGGCGCGTGAGAACGACGGGGCTGGTGGGGTACATTAGTTCTCTCCAGACCCCGTGAGGCTCAACAAGCTCTGCATGGCGCGCTTGGGGCTGCGAAAGCCAAGTGCCAGCCAACCACGACGGTCGGCGGCCGTGGCGTGCGACCGGGCATGTAGCGCTTGGCCAAACTATCGGGAAGATTTTGTCACACTAACAGGTCTCGAGGCAAAATTTTCTATCCTGTCCAGGACCGGCCACGCCGCTGCGGCTCAAATTTAGTATCCACTCGACACCGTGCGCCTGGAACAGCAGACGCAGACGGCTGGTCAGGTGCGGCTTGGACGTCTGATGCCTGTCCGACTGTGCAAGCTAATTTCGGTCTGGAGAAGACGAAAGCGGCCATAGTGCGACGTGGAGAGTGCGGAACCCGAGTGCGGAGGGGGGCGGGCATGGAGTGACAGATTTCGCGGGGATCGTGAGATTGACGTCTGGAGAAGCAAAGGTGGTTGTGACGAGAGGGAACATGTCGTAGGCAGTCAGCAGTGTGCTGCGAACGTCCATTGCATGCGGACTGTACGTGCAACTTGGCTGTATTTCAAGCCTGGCCACTAAGCTCATTACCCGTGGCTTGGCCTCATCTTGTCGGAGTCGGCTTTTGCTGTCCTTGAGGCCAGGACCGGAGCCGGAGCAGCTGACTCGCCTCGTCTCTCCATCTGTCTTGCTGTTCCCCATCACGGCATGTGTCCCGGCACCCAACTGCCGGTGCCTGTGTGGCAGGCGTACAACACCTGTCGGCGTCCTCACCCTCTCGAGCAGCCTCAAAACATGCTGGTGACTGCGCAGAATCGGATGCCGGGAAGCGGCTCAGACGGAACCTAATCTGATCGACACACGCGCACGCCACGATCCTTGGAGGCCTTGTGCGGCTCTTTGATCATGCCAGAGTCACATGTCGTCCCAGTGGCAATGGTCACGCGCAGCGTGGGAAGCCCAAGGTACCAAAGTATCCCTTGAACGCGTGACTGCTGATGCGATGCTGATGCTGGAAGCTGTAAGGACTGCTTAGCACTGCTTGCTACTGTGGTCCCCACATGAAGCTGAAACGCAGGCCGAGGTACCAGTGCCAGTCACAGTAGGATCGGCATCCCAGAGCTGGGAATTCGTATACGCTATCGACTGGCGTTCCGAAGGGCCAACAGAACCGTTTGAAAGCAACGGCACGGCCACTAGACCACGCTGTAACCTGGTCGCTCGGCCTCTCTCCCCTTCGGGCGCACCGAACCAGGTCTACGTCATCGCAATGTGGACTTGGCAAATTACTTTGATGCAGCAAGAAACAACGAGAAAATAGACAATTGCACAATGGGTGAAGGTCAAGAAGAAGAAAATGGTGGTGGATGAACAAGACGACAACAGACGGTGACGCGCCACGTCTCCCTCCCCGAACCCCACCAAAAAAACCCTTCTCACCGCCCCTCCAAACAACAACAATAGCAACGGCAATACCAACGAACAACACAACACGACAACAACACTCAACGCCAACCTCAATGTCCGACACCCCTTTACCCCCCCACTCTCCCCCCAGCCTCCCCGCCTCTCCCCTCCCCAAACGAACAAAAGTAATTTCTCCCTCGCCCCTAACCCAACCCTCCACCCTACCCCGCGGCACAGACTCCGGCCTTGCAACCCCAACGCCCCTCGCAAGCATGTCGTCGGTCCTGCAACCCCCCGCCCCCATTGCGCCCTCAATTGCCGCCGGCGCAGCCGCAGAACAGCAACTGCAAGTCCAGCTGCTGAGCGCAAACGCCAGAGCCCCGACAAAGGGGAGTGCCTTTGCGGCCGGCCACGATCTTTACAGTGCCGTGGATGTCGTGATTCCGGCGAGGGGGCGCAAGTTGGTCGCGACGGATATCAAGATTTCGGTGCCAGTGGGGACGTGTATGTCTATTTCCCTTGCTCTTTCTCTCTCTCTCTCTCTCTCTTTCCCTTCTTTTCGTATGATGGCAATGGAAAAGTGCTTTTCTTTTGCTGATTGGTCACAATGAATAGATGGTAGAGTAGCGCCCCGCTCGGGACTCGCATATAAACACGGCATTGATACCATGGCGGGCGTCATCGATGCGGATTATCGCGGCCCCGTGGGCGTGATACTGGCAAATCTTTCGGACGAGGATTTTGAGATTAAGATTGGGGACCGCATTGCGCAGCTTGTGGTTGAGAAGATTGCCATGCCCAATGTGGTTGTTGTCGAGGAGTTGGAACAGAGTGTTAGGGGGTCCGGTGGGTTTGGAAGCACCGGCGGATTTGGTGCTACTCCTGCTGCTGCTGAGCCGCCGGCGGCGGTGGCGGCGGTGGAGACTGAGGAGAAAAAGGAGTAAAGGATGCTTTTTTGCTGGTCAATTGCACACAATCAGGAAGGGACTCGATGTGGGAGGCATGACCATACTGCCCTCAATTGGGATACAGTTGCACGAGCAGAAGAGTACTGGATACATTACTCGTGTCAATTGACAAGGCAAAATGCTGGAAGCATTCTGTACACTCTTACATCTCCACTGGGTACCCACGCCAGGTAGAGGAGAAGCACTACAATATCGCTCTCAAGAAATGCAGAGAAATCAGTGCCGAATCATATTCTCCAGACACATGCACATACATTATGAGAAAAAAAACCCCTCCCCCAAAAAAAACCCCAGGCTCATACTCAACCCTCGATTTTCCCAATTATATATATGTATAAAATATTCATGCTCAAACCTCCACATGTACATCTACACGCCAACCACCGCCTTGGGCGCAAACCTCTCCACATCGGGCGGCTCCACCAACTCGCTCACGTAGCGCACAACCGTAACCTCACTCGCATTCATAAGGGCCAGGTGCCTCTTCTTAGCGGCCTCGGCTTCCTCCTCCTTACTGCGCACGTCGGCCGCACTGCCCGCAACGCGCTCGTCATACTCGTGCATGCGAGTCAAACACGCGGCCGTGGTCTTGGTCAAGATGGATTGCATGGACGCAAGTACCTTTTGGCAGGCGCGGGCGAGCGGGAGGTGCGTGGCTGGTACGTCGTCGGGCGAGCGCCAGCTGGGGATTGTGTGGAGGGGGCACGCTGGGGTTGAGGCGGCGTGCACGGCTTCGATTAGACGTGGGATGGTGAGGGCGGCGAACATGTCGCCCGTGCCTGAGAAGAAGAGGGGGAGTTGGGGCGTGTCGATGCGGAACAGGCGGGGTTTGTGGTCAGAGGTTGCCGTCGAGCCAATGATGGTTAGGTTTTCAATCTCCGAGTCGTCGTGGACGGGGGTGCTTTGCTGGGGCTTGGGGAGGTGCTCCCAGGTAGAGGGATGTGAAGTTGCTGCGTCGTGGGGTTGGCTGGTGGAAGGCGTGTGGGTTCCGGTGCCGGCTTTTGATACTGGTCTTGAGGATACGGTTTGGTTGTCGCGGGTCAAGCGGAGAGATGTTATGATGACGTGTGGGACTTGGTATTTTCTGTGGAGTACCTCGATTGCGGCTGCGAGAGACTTGAGGTCGGTGATTGAAGTCTCAGAGAGGAGTCTGTAGGTCTTGTAAGCCACAATTTCTATTGCAACCCTCCACGCGCACGCACTCAGCCTCGAACTGGTTGGGTAGAATAAGGTCTGCCTCACGCAGCAATCCCTTGTACTCTGGCACCTCGTCCTCGGGTATGTATAGCTTGCCGTTGTCTCCCATGACCGGGTCAAGCACTGTGTCCCCGTCAGTCTATGTTCTATGACATATGGTTTGATATCCACTCACCCCAGAAGAAGCTGCCAGGCTTTGTACCTGCATTGAACTTGATGTCCCTTCCAATCGTTCCTATCGCTTGTACAGCTTCGGCACTGGGCACATATCCTGTTAGGAGCACGTCGAAGTTGTTAAGGTTCGATTGGCGGAGGCCTTCGTAAAGCTCGAGAATCTCGCCAGCCGACGTTTTCGTGCCTTTGATCTGTTTATACGCCGTGTGATTGCCTACCCGTTGGTCAGTTTGTACCCAAGACACCAACGACTGACACATACTGTAGTGTACGGTATTGATCGCAGAAACGTCGCACCCCAGTGACTGCATGACAAAGGTCGCCATCTTGTTGCCCACATAGCTTAGCTTGCAGTCAGTCGAATGCGCAATCCGTCGCGACATACAACTCACCCGTGTACTACCTGTCGCATGTTAGCTACAAGCACCATAGCTTTGCGCCCATTCCTCTTACGTGGCTGGCGATTGCGAGAACTCGCGTATCCGGAATCAGAGTGTCAGAAGCCATTTTCACAAATAACAGTTGCAAGTAATCAGGGCAAGAGGACGTATGCGCAGGTGGGGTATTTGTTCATGTACTATCGATTTCCGTATCTGAAATTCCGCGGGTACGTATGACGCGACTCGCATGGTGGGGCGGTAACCTTCCTTTAGTTTCCAAAGTGCACAACACCGCTTGCAGACGCCCATTCACGCCGGTGTCGCATGCCATAATCATGAAGCTATTAGACGCTCGACGCACATCAAAGCCATTGCGCCACTTATTCCCTTCATCTATTCTGAAAACATGCCGCTCGTGTGTCAATAAAATCGTAGTTCGTTTAGTCCTCGTCACCAATCTGTGCGTGTAGTTAGCATCACAGTTGTATAGCATGGAAACAATTTCTTTTACCTTGGGTGCAAGGTAAAACCTGAGGTAGCTTTGCTCTTGTAGGCCATACTCGACAAGCAGAGGGACTTCGCTGGACAGGCAGAGCTTGACCTGGTCCGACAGGCCACTAGCCTTGCAGAAGTTGGTCAAGTACTTGAGCGAGAAAGTAAGGGCGACAGGCTCGGTCATGTCAATCGTGACAGACTCGCCTGGCTTGTCTAAGCTGGGATTCTGCTTGAGGATGACAGAGCCCGAGCCAATGTCACCGGAGCAGGCAAATTTGACACCGTCTTTTGAGCACTCAATTGAGACTAAATCAACGTTAGCTCTGCCAACAGTATCTACACATGTCGTCACGAGTCACGTAGGACGTACCTGACTCTGACAATGCACCCAAATCTCTGCAAATACGCTGGAACTCGGCTGAGGGCATCGATATGGTCGCAGCATAGTCTGTGTCGGGGATGCCGAGATGCTCCTGGTCAATGTCCATGAGCTTGATATCGTACTCGCTAATTCGCGAGCTGGTCTTTGTCTCAAAGACAAGGTTGACAACATCGGGAGCATCCTCGGCCTTGATGGTGAGGATGTCTTCGTTTCCAGCAGCGCGGAGCACCTTTGTGAGCGAGCCCAAGTTGATACCAAGGGCAATGTTACGGTCGCAGCGGAAGGGCGAGAAGGCGTCTGACTTGAGCATCATGGACACGAGGGCAACGTGCGAGTTGTCCATGGCTTGGAGCGCAATGCCCATGTCATTGCAGTCGAAGTTGCAGTCTTGGACAAGGTCCTTGATAGCATCGACAACCTAGTACGCGGTTAGAAGGGCTTTTGACTTTTTTTTTTGACAGGGGAAGTGTACCTTCTTCAAGGTGTTTGCCTGTTCTAAGCGTGCCTCAAGCACTGCAAATTGTTAGCTTCGTTGGGTTGTCATGGTGAAGGAGACTCACTCTTGGATTTGGGGTATGATTAGGTGAGAAAGTAGTGCTGAAGGGTATCGTAAACGTCGTGCAAGAAGACAAGTGCGCTCTGTTGTAGAAAGGCAACAATAGATAGAGGGGATCTCAACGCGGGAGCGCGTCAAACACACGCTAAAATATGCACAGATCACCGCATGTTAAAGAGCTGCCAAGAATCCTACGCACGCGATGAACAAACGTGGCAGCTGTCAGGACGATGTTTGGATTCAAAGCACCATGGATGCTTGTCATCTTTATTGTGGGAGCCTTGTTCAAAATACGTCTTGAATCGGTCATGTCAATACGTAAATTTGTTGCAAATTGCACTCTATGAGTTCGCAAGCACGAACTAGCCACGCTTGAGATGAAGAATCCGAATGCTTGATTAGACGGGGTATCATGCTAAAGAAAGGCAAAATGCGGCGGCTGATATCATGAAGCATATCCCGTTACAGGAATGCGGCTCTCAAAGAGGTTTGTGAGGCTTTTTGTCCTCGAAGACAGCTCTGTTCTCTCCCACCCCGACAAGTTTCCAACTTGGACGTAGTTGACCTCCGTCTCACTTGAGCACCTTCCTGGGCTGAGCAAGCTATCTTCAGCGGCCTTCCACCTTTTTGCATCGTCGCAACCGAGTATCTTTTCTTCGACTTCTTGCGAACATTCCTGCATCCATCCCAAAGCTCTACGCCCGCACTAGGCCATAAAACAGTGTCCAAGTCAGCACAAAGCCGCTCAATCCCCCAAAGACATCTCCCAACCACAAATCGCCCAACGGACTATAAAAGTATGCGCTAGGCTTGCCCTCTGTCTTCAGCGCAAATAGCAACGCAGAGACGACTAGCGATGCCAGTAGGTAGAAGATGAAGCCTGCGTAGGATTCGAGGCCTAGTGTGCCAGCGGCGACGCCGAAGAGCGATGCGGTCAGGCTTCGTATATTGGAGATGACCTGTGGCGAGAGTAAGTCTGTGACTACATCGTGCAGGGCAGAGGCGCAGCAGGATAGGCTATGTCGTATGCCAGGCGGCGGCAATGACAAGGTGCCATGGCGATTGATAAGCGTACCTGGGTATTGTGCTGTACGCTGCTTGCAACGATTGGGTTGATGGCGAGCTCTCGCTCCTCGTTCAGCGCTGATGCAGCCATGACGGACAATGCGACTGGGGTTGTGTCGCGGAAGGACAAAGGTATGCTTGTAATCCCACGGACGCTCACGGACGAAAGGGTGGTATGTTCGGCCGTATGCGCGTTTCGGCCGAAGAATGGGTTTAAGCTTGGGCTCGACTGCGGCGGAAATCGAGTGTTACAGATTTGTTGGATGCCCTCAAACGACGGATTCCTGTTCCCGCTCCGATGCTATGGCCGTTGTGATGGGATAGAGGGTGGGTTGCCGGAGTCGAGTGCTGGTAACGCCGGTGCTCCACAATTTGCCGTCTTGGTCCGTGCATGGACCCTTGACAGTAGGGATGACTTCACAGCACTCCATTTCAACACTTCAACAATCTCAACACTGTGCAGCGCAACCGTACATGATTAATGACAGACTTTCTATTTCTGTAGATATTATCTAGCAAGATTGATATGAGAATTTTATTGTTTCTACATGCATACGACCTCTATTACCCAGTTACAACTTCAAGCACCGTCGTAAAGAAAGCCATAATCGTCAAGATACCTTGTGCAATTAGCCTTTGTCAATACCACAGAATACATGTACCTACTGGTGCATATGTAAGGGTAACAGATAGTTGTTGAGCCCCTTTGCTGTTCGGAGGTAAACTATAGCCTGCCGAAAATAAATATGATGAACCCTGGGCGACGTGACGTTGCCAATGCTCATGAATGCTTCAGCGGCCTTTGTGAAGTTAGCGTTGAGGCAGCTCAGTGAAGAGAAGGATCCTTGCCGTCAAAAGCAAATGCCCAGTCAGTTCTCCTTTTTCTCTTGCTGCATCCACGGCAGATTGGAGGTAGTCAGTCGCTGGTACCAGCAATGCGCGTGCCTCGACATAATCTGCACTGTTTATACGCTCGTGAGTCTCGACTAGAGGCTGCGTTGTAAATTGGTCTGGATGGGGGCTGCTTTCTTCGTTGCGGGGAAGCTCACTTTCCGCTCGAGCGATGCTTGCCAGTGCTTTTTGCGCTCGTAACAGCCAATGCCGACCGATCACCGTGACTGTCAGCCAAGGGACAAGAAACCATGGGTTTAGCTTACAAGCCAAAATCTCGGGGTCTTGAGGATATAACGCAAGCAGGGTCAGCAATTGCCGTAAACACCAGTCCGCTATGTCCGAGACAGGGCCGTTGTCCGCATCCGCGAGTGCTACCCGCTGGACGACAGTGACCAAGGGCATCTGCCAATATCTGCGAGATTGTTCGGGAGCTGTATCAGAAATCTCAAACGAGTTGGTGATGTTTCGGATGGCCGGCAGTTGATGTCGCCAGGAATTAGGCTCAGTGTCAAGGTTTGCATTCACTAGCTCGACTGTGGCCGTGAGTATGTGGAGCATTTGGCTGTCCATAACGACGACTCGGTAGAAGGTGGGTTTGTCACCAAGAAGAAATGTTCAGTAATATCATACACAACACAGGAGAGTAGATTTGTAAGGAAACAAATTGCTCAAAGAAACTTGGAACTAATATATGTTGCACATGGAGAATAAGCCGACTCAGAGGAAGCATATTCCACACTTGGGTTGGCCACATTGTGCAGAGATTGTGCTAGCAAAACCGGTGTTCAGCCTGCAGAAGTGGACATGTTGCCGGGGCTCATTGCTGTCGCCTGGTGGAAATAGTGGGATGGCGATGTGTCAGCCACATGGACGGTAGGGGATAAGGCGGGTTGTCCGGAATCTCCAGGAATGAGATCGAGGGTTATGATGCAACATGTGTCTTGTCACAGGTGCTTGACCAAGGTGAGACTTGACGGGTGTAGTTCAACCATGGTGGTAAAAGGTGGCAAGCATGGTTTGTAAGCGTGGACACTGACCTGGCAAGGTGGGTGGCAGCGTAGTCTAGGGACAGGCCAGCACACCACAACTCAGTACCTGCATACAGCATGCAGCCCTATCTTATCGATTGTGCTATCGATTGAGCACAGGCGAGCTTGCATGCATGCGCGTCATTTGGCACGCAACCACGACTGTACGCAGCGAGGACATGCGCCAGCCGACCAAGAGGAAAAGAAAGCGTTTATCTACTCCCCGGGAATGCAAGTCGCGTACGTGCGGGGCCGGACAATGGTGCTCATCGGGGGTGGATCGCAGGCCATCCGCAAGGGACGCGTGGTCGCAGCGCCGGTAGGGCCGGCAAGCGGCATTAAGGGTGAAATGAGGCGTAGGAAGGTGAATTATTGTTTTGCATCCAAAACGAGAAGCCTGTGTGGCCTCAACGCTTACTCGAGTCGGGGACAGAGGAGGGCCTAGGGGGGCCAGGCAGTGTGCGGCGCAGGGTAACGCGCGCCTAGACAGCCGCATGAAATGGCCTGTAGACCAGGGTGTCACATGAAAAGCACGGCGGAGACGGCTAGAGGGAAACGAAACCGCCCCGTGAACGGTCGAGCGGGCTGTCAGCCGGTTAGTCGCCAATCACAGGGGGGCCGTCTCCGCAGGCTGCTTCATTTCCGTCGACCGAATGGTAGAGCCAGTGTAAGAAAAGTGTGGCTGTGGATGTGTGGATGTGTGTGAGTGCGTGTGTGTGTGTGTGTGTGCGCGCGGACTACTCCAGCTGCCACTCTCCTTTCTACCTGCTCCCTTTTCTTGTCCGCACCCGTCCCCCAATGTCCCCCCTGCCACCAGACGGACAAAGTGACAGCTGCCACGATTGGATCCCACGCACCAGACCACGCGCCCTTGCCAGCGCCCTCGCCTGCGCCCGCGCCCGCACCCGCACCAGCCGTCCCAGCTATATCCATATCACCTGCCCACCCCGGGCTAGAGCCACCACAACACCACCACCACCAGCTCACGCGCCGCCCCAAAGACCACCCGACGTCCATTCCCCCATCATGCCGTAGCGCTGCCACAATGGAGAACATTATACCTGACGACTCGCCCCTCGCCCACCTGCTCCAAGGTGCGCCTCCCCTCCCCCCACAGCAACCGCCACCATGATGATGATGGTTATGACAGCGATGCATCCCCAGCCACTAACCGCCGCACTAGGCCAAGGCAAAGCCGGCCAAGAAGACGACGACACCCTACGCCCTCCAACCCTGCGACACTCCGATACCGACGTCGACTTCCAGGGCTTTGCGCCCCGAGGTCCCTCTACCCTGCAATCGAGAATAAGAGACCGCCTCCCACAGCCGTTGCGCATACATGCCCGCCATGGCTCCATTTCCCGCATTCACTTGGCCTGTTCGGTGTGTCCATCTGCCCTGGCGCTTTGTGAGTCAAGACGTACTGACCCAACTGCAGAAGGCTGTCAATTCGCGATTGGGGCGTGCAGACAATGAGCGCTTCCTCGAACACTTCCGCTACCTCATAGTCGCCTCGCAGCTTCTTGGCGAGAAGGACGGCCTGCGCGCATCATCGATGCCCGCCTTTGCGGCTGGCGGACGCTCCGGCTCGCACGAATTCAAAGTCGCCACGATAAGCCCTACCGGCGCCGCTCTGACGGGCACAACGGCATTTGCCTTGGTATGGCTAGTCCACTGGTCTCGCCGCCAGCCGACGTTCAGCTTGAGTAGGTCGGCATTTGTGGTTCTGGTCTTCGCGGCCGCTGCATCCGCCGTCTATGGCTACATGCGACGTCAATGGCTCCGGTATCTGAGACAGGAGGCGGTCGATGGCGCAGCCGCCTTGGTCGCCAACCTACAAGCCTTTGAAGCCTCTACGTCGTCTGCGCTTGCTTTGATCCAAGAGGTAGAGCTTGTATCTCGTGGCTACAGACTGTATGTACTTGACATTTTTCAACCGGTGTTCCCTATCCCCGCTCACTGATCCCTTCCAGAAGCAGTCCGCTACCCCCCATCTCGCGCATCGAGGAAAAGGGCCAGGCCCGCCGTTGCCAGCGTCTTCGTCGCAATCTTCGCGCAGCATACGCCGACATTGTACCCTTCCTCTCCGAGCAGTGTGGAGTTTTGAAGCCACTGATCCAGGAAGATGACTTGGAAAAGTACTTTGACGTTTACGAGATCAGCAATCCGGACCTGCAAGAGGCGGCTCTCAGCTACACTCCGTCCGAGTTCGAAGACGCCGAAAGCCTGAAAGCACTTCGCACCCTCCAATATCGCCTGTCAATTCTTCGCCGCGTGTATCTGTGCTCTCTCCTTGCCATGGAGGCTGATGGTGGCACGCTGGATTTCCCACGATGGTCAACCGTAGTCGACTCTATCCTAAACACTGCCCGTCCTATCGGCCAATGGAGCGAAAAGTTCAACCGCGTACTATCGGAAGAAGAGCAGTTTGTTTTGCCATCGCCGGCCAAGGCAGCGCCCACGCCCGGGCGGGAGAAGATCCGAAACTCTGTGCGTAAATTGTCAGGACTTTCGAGCGGAATCCGGGGTTTGCAGGCAAAGATGCAGGTATTGCGGGAAGAAACGAACAAGAGCTTGGAAGATATGGAAGATGTCAGTGATATTGGTCATTCTCTTATGGCGCAGTACGAATCCATTGGAGCCGATCTTAAGAGTTTAGTGCAGGCTTGGGAAGCAGGAAAGAATGCGCTTGCGTTGAACATTGATCGACAGGAGCGCCGAATCTCACAAGCATCAAGCAGTGGTCTGCGCTCACCAGTTCCAAGCCTAGGTGGACTGACTGCTGTTGACGAAGGAAGTCCGTCTGACGCTCTACGCGCTCTTAACGGCGAAACCCTGAGTCCTCAGGAGAGCGCCCCGCCCAGTGACCAAGGAAGTAACTCTGACGACGAAGTATTCGAAGCCATTGCAATTCCCAAGACACGCGTTACCATGTCGAGAGAGGAACGGATGCAAAAGATCCATGATGACCGCATTCGCCAAGCTACGCTTCGTGAGCAACGAGACGCAAACACCAGCATGCTGAGAGAACTGGAGTCCGTGATCAACCTGCGACCGCATCGTGCATCTGCACCTCCTGGAGGCCGAATCACTAGCCTCTGAGGCTACTCACCCCTTTTCCTATGTGTATATTTCCATAACTCATGACAGCTCGCTCGATACCGCATCAGTTATTCTTTTTCCCTTATTTCCTTGTTTCCATATCCTTTGTTTCCACCACAGACATGCATCTGGACCCTGTTTAGCTTTTGAATCTCTCGGGCATTTATCGCGATACCATTTGCCACGGCAGCAGTCGCAGCCGCAAGTCGCTTTGTGTTTTTTTTTCTTGGTTTTTCTCATATCAGTGGGCGTTTAAGGGGGCCATCATGTATGTGCCAATGCATCAATCAGATCTTGAGGTCGGAAAAAAGAAGAAGATACTACTAGAATAGTAAGACGTATTGTGAAAGAATCGATGTTCTGATGTTTTGAAGTGCGAACCACCTTGTTACTAGTAAAAGAAACTTTTGTCATTCGCTCCGGTGAGAATGAAATAGCGCAATTCCAAAAATGTTCACATGCCGACGACACTCGGAAAACAACTAAAAGCGTATGAACCCCACCCCCCCCCCCCCTTTCCTTGTTTTCTCTTCCTCCTGCCCAAACACACCCAATACCCCCGATCCTACCCCCAAAAAACCCCCCCTCTTCTCGCGCTTCCTTCCCCGACCACACCGGAAATTTCACTCTCCTACTCCCTCTCCCTCCGCATTACCCCCCATGCACCCTCCTAACATGCACCCTCAACCCATCCGACCGCGCATAAACCCTCTCACACCCCTCACTCGCACACTTGTACTTCTGCTTGCCCCTCGCCGGTCCCGTGCACGCTTGCGTTTTTAAATGGCGGGTTAGATTGCCCAGGGCGTGGGCGCCGGTTAGGATTGTGCCGCAGTGGTAGGGGCAGGGTATTGTGGTGGAGGTGGAGGAGGGGAGAGGGGGTTGTTGGGGTGGGTGGTAGATGGCGATTGAGTTGGTGGAGGAGGGTCTGGGAGAATGGTTAGTATGTGGTGGTGTGGGGGTGTGGGGGTGTGTGCATACTCGTAGTAGTAGGGGAGACGGGTTTGTGGTGATGGAGAGTTTGCTGTAGGGGTGTGTTGAAATCTGAGGGTTGTATAGGTGGTACTGGGAAAGGCAGTGCTGTGGGGCGTATTCTGTTTCGGTATGGGCTGCTGGAAGCTGTTGGTGGGTATGTAGGTTTCGTGACTGGGAGTTGCGCATGCGCATGTTTGTGAGTGCCAAGATTGGGTTTCTCTTGTGAGTTCGGAGACGGTGGCCATTTGTAATGGACTTTCTGCCGAACTCGATACAGCTGGAGGTTGGTCAAACGGGTTGTTTTGGTTTCTTGAATTCTCTGGTGACCAAGGAGGCATGTGGCTGTGTGTGGATTGATTATACGCCATTAAAGATTGCTGGTTTCTTCTGGTCTCGTATGTGTTCATTGATACTATACGATGAAATTCTGTTTACCTATTATAAGGCCAAAGCGACATGCAGAGAGAGCAGTGATAAACCAGTTTGCCACTCCAATCGGAGCAGCAAATCATAGCAGAAAGCACCAAGAGCCGGAGATACAAGAAAGAGGCCTGCAAGTGCTCAATAGCAGTAATACGCCACTAGACGTGGCCCAATTACAATACTAACTACGCATTCTCAAGCCATGATCAAGGCGCCCTAGCCGACAAAGAAAATACATCTCCGTATGTGTCTAATTAGCCAACCACAATATATACATACCGATCAGATCGACTGTCAGCATGTGGTGTTACGCCTCTTACACATCTACACCAACATAAACAGTTAGTGATCATCCAGAGAACTATGCGAACGAAAACTTAATTTCAGGTGGCCTCCTGTCTCTCTTCATCTCGAAGCGCAAGGAACCGCACGGCAGTTCGTTCAGACTGGGATGGTCCTCCTCGCCGAATTCATCGGGGCTGCCCAATCAATGAAAAAGATCGGTAAAGCCTTGATGTGGCGCGGTGCAGGGGACTGGGTTATTGGTCTTCCAGTATTGGGTTTTCGTAATCACCAGTACACTAACACGAGATGCGTGGGTAGGCAGTACAGAAACGGGAAGCTTTTGCGATTAGGATCTTTAGCAAAAAAACCCATGAGAGCTGTTATTACAAATGAAAGATTGGCTTTCGTGCCGTGTATATATGTATGTTTTCGGGGATTGTGGTGATGTATGGTATGTATCTCTATGCATGCTTACCAATATCCTTGCACTTTGAGTCTATTTCGCATTGCAATGATAAAACTGTTCCATGTACACCACTGTTTTCTCCCTTCTTGTTCAAGTCAACTTGGTGTTCTCTTGACCATCTTCCGCAATCTATACACATCAGTGTTGTTATTGTAGCATCTCCGTCCGCAACAGAACCTGTGTCGATCATCCCTTAGACTACCCATCAAAACGGGAGATGTAGTCGATACACAATCGGCCTTACGGGCCGGCATTGCTAGACCAAACACTCTGTTTCTCTACACTTCGGCGACCATACCTCTGCACGCTCCCTGCACCTCTAATAATCTGCAGCAAGCAAATCATCGAATCTGACGCTACGTCAGCATCCCTGCCTTCCTTGGTCAAGGGCTCTCCTATTCGGGTTACACGAAGCGCCTAGATTTTGAGACTAGCGTCGGTTTACAAGACAGGAGTCCGAAGAAGAAAGTTGGGCGGGACGGCTCGTTAGCGCATCAGACCGGGTACGAGATGGGTTTTTTTTCTCAGTCAAAGCCTAGTAGGGACAGTGGCTACCTTTTTTTTGGCCGGCCCGATTACGTTTGCTCATGCGCCGCGGTAACCTATGATAGATGATGCTTGCATGTGACAATGGCGATGCGGAGCGAGGATGTGAAGAGATTGTCACACCGATTGGTTTAGTAAGTAAACCGGGTTTGCGTCTTATACTCGCTGCGATTCCCCGTGCCCTATGTCGCGCTGGTTGTTTGTAGAAAGACAGTCTCCCACATACAATCACAGAATAATTTCTGCTAGGAGAACTTTTGTATTGGAAAATTGAGGGCGTGGCGTTAGATTGCAAGTATCGTCTAAGCGACTATTCGTGGTGAAAGAGTTATAGTTGTGAGAACGCCAACTGAAATAAAAGATAAACCTGCTGCGATTGAAGACTAGCGACTAAATTAAATGATAGATCCTGACATGAAAAGGGTCAGTCGCTTAATTGAGGACTTGCCGTTTCGATTATATCGTAGTGCGACAGACGCATATTATCTCAACTCTTGAGTTTACATATTCCAGGACTTTCTAGAAATGAACATTGCATACGATGCCACCTGTTTTTTTGGTGTTGAGGACATTTACAACACGCGATTTCTGGTTGCAAAATGCCAAGACGAGAAGAAAAAAGCTATCGGCTTTCTCCACCGAATGTTCCGTCGCACTCGATCAGATTTTGTGCCAAGATGATCCAACGGGTTTCAAATGGGTAAAATTCTTGTTCTTGCTTCAGTGCAAAACGTATACCCCCTAAGGTCAAAGTCGGCATTTTCTCCAGCTTGTGATGTGCTTTTAAGCGAAGACTAAAACTAGCTATCTACGTGAAGAAAATTTGATTCATTTTCTTCTCGCAAGTGAGAATGACACTGGGAACGGGGGATAAAAGAATACAAAGACAAATTAGAAACGCTTGATAAGAATATACACTACTATATAGCAAGTGGTGAAGCAAGGAGATGTGCTCGCTTAACCCCGATTGTATGTACGACCGGAGAATTTTTGCGGCTAACCTATGATTAGGACGCCCCGCGTCTTAACAGCAGGTCTGACGTCGGCCGAGCATTTTTTCCTCGATGGATATAGATCCATAACTTGCAGTAAGTATATCCGTGGTGATAAGTAATGCCGTAGATGACGAATTGGAAGGTGGACCTCTCAGCCGATCTCGAATGACGAAATGTCAACGGCAGCTAACCGAGGGCTGCATAGGCATTGTTCCTTGTTGCGGGTTGCCACGTTGCGCCAGCAGATCGAAAATCGTTTCAGGACAGGGGCGCGATACGTTGACGTCTTCACTGCGAGCCATGTCCGAGATTTTTGCAGTTTTATTACCGCAGATGTAAACCTTTTTCGGACCTACTGGGACGGGGTTAACGGTGATAGTTGAGCATACCCCACTTCGAGGCTCAAAAACGTGGTAAAAGTGGGTCCGGTGCCAACGGCGTAGATCGGCGAAAGGGCAAAACACCGGGATATCCATATGGACATACCTCATACCCCAGACCGTCTTTTGATGTATTACAAATGTCCAGGAAATTTTCTAGAAGGCTGAAGGAAACGAGGGTATAAAACTCGAGCCCGTGTAGCTTGTGTAGTCACCAATTCAGCCAACAAATCTCATCTCATCTCACCAAACTTCAACACCATTTCTCAATCTCCTTCTTGTGCAATTCCATTTTCAGTACCAAAGCAAACAAGAAAGATGTCCTCATCATCAGACTTCCAGGGCTGGGTAGCTCACGACCCCTCTGCCGCCGACGGCAATATGAAATGGGGCGACTACGCCCCCAAGAACTTCGAGTCCACAGACATTGAGATGGAAATCAGTCACTGCGGTGTCTGCGGTTCTGACATCCATACCCTCCGCTCCGGCTGGGGCCCCTCAGACTACCCTCTCGTCGTTGGTCACGAGATCATTGGCAAGGTCACTCGTGTCGGAGATGCCGTCAAGGACCTCAAGGTCGGCGACCGCGTCGGTGTTGGTGCGCAGTCTGACTGCTGTGAGAGCTGCAGGCCTTGCAAAGCCAAGCAAGAGTCCAACTGCAACAACTTTGTCATGACCTACAACGCAAAGTACAAGACTGGCGACAAGGCTCAGGGAGGTTACGCAAAGAAATGGCGTGGACCGGCTTCTTTCGCTATTCCTATTCCGGAGGGTCTTCCTTCTGAGTACGCTGCTCCTCTCATGTGTGGTGGTGTAACCGTCTACAACCCCCTCGTCACCTACGGTGCCGGCCCAGGAAAGCGCGTCGGTGTTGTTGGTATCGGCGGTCTCGGTCACTTCGCTCTTCTTTTCGCCAAGGCCCTTGGCTGCGACGAAGTCGTTGCCATCTCGCGCTCTTCTTCCAAGAAGGCTGATGCGTTGGAACTCGGTGCTGATAGGTTCATCGCTACCGGCGAGGACCCCGAATGGATGAACAAGAACGCCGGTGGCCTCGACATCATCATCTCCACCATCTCTGGCGGTTTCCCGCTCGACCAGTACCTCAACCTACTTGACGTGAACGGTACTTTTGTCCAGCTCGGCGCTCCCGACGACCCACTTCCCAGCTTCTCCCCCATGGGCTTGATCTTCAAGAACTTGAAGATTGCTGGTTCTCTCATTGGCACCAGGCAGCACATTGCTGACATGTTGGAGCTGGCAAAGAAGACGAACCTCAAGGCCTGGGTCCAGGTCAGGCCCATGTCTGAGGCTAACGATGTTATTGTCGATTTCGAGAAGGGCCTGCCTCGGTACCGATACGTGCTCAAGAACTAGGTTCTTGCTACGACAAGTTGTACCGACCATGACGATACCCTGTATTTGTAGTTTAGATGATATCAAATGAATAGAACTTTTAATCACGATTGGGCTGCATTCGAATGTCACAAAGCAAATCTGTTCACAATAAGCATTTTAATCGATGAAGTGTGTTGGTATAGCTAATTCTATCGGGGACTATCGTACGGCAGTTCATTGGAGTTGCTATCAAATTTACGTATTCAGAAAATCATGCTAACCATTTCTCGAAAGACACCTTTAGGGTCGAGATCAGACTTAGGAATTGGTCAGAAGGTTGTTGTATGTTCCGGCAATAGCAGAACTGTGGCGACTCCTGAAATGCGACATTATGAGTAGGCAGGGTATTTACAAAAGAGTGATATGATTTAGTTGATTGTAAGTGAGAAAAAATACATGTTTTAAATTAGTTGTCTTTAGGCGTTGCTGGGATGCAGGGTTTAGCCCAGTCAACTCTTCGTTTAGCGTGTAGCATTGGCGTACACTATTTTGTTGTCCGAATCAGGGAACGCGGGGTTCAATGTGCTAGCTCTCTAGTTGTCATGGGTATAGTATCGTTGCTTAACCAATGCACCCTTTTTGCGGGGTCCCTACATTCCTACACCGGGACTATCCATACATAGTTACCTTATGAGAATATTGATTCCGGGAATTTGGAATTCTTACTAAGAATATTTCGTTTCATATTAACAGAGGCATAATAAAACTACGAAATTATACACTTGAGATGCTTGTGCGACTACTTTGGTTCGCTGGCTTTTGCTGGCCAAACCGACCCATTTCCATTCCCACAAGCGACTGCTCATCGCTATCAGTATGTCGTACTTCATAAGTGGTTGTATATGTGATGACATCCTGACCGCCTCCTTTCCTCGAACCGAACGACTTCCCTCCCTTACTTCCTAAAGCGATGTCCT